AAAAGTCAGGCCTGGGACCTTATTCTGCCAACATCAGACCAGGAAATAGGGCCCCAATCTACTCTGCTTCTAGGAAAGGCTCAACTGGGAGAATGACACTGGCAGCCCATTACTGAGGGCTAAGAAAGTTTCTCAGAGCAGAAAACTGACACAGCTGAAGCAATTTTGTGGATCCCAGGTACATCTGAGACTGCCCCTGCAACTGGTTCTGCTCTAAAGAGATCATGGGACAGTACACAGCTGAGGTGGCTTCTCCCAGGCTAATACTGACAGAAAGAAAAACCTGTGAATAGTGTCACTGCCACTCAGAGCAAAACAGCCTTCCAGAGAACCAATAAAAGCATCTCATTAGGGCACACTGGTTCAGGTTCTAATATTATTGCCCTACAGGGATAGAAATTTACTGCAAACAAAGCTATAGCCTTCTGTTAAGAGCCCCTCATCATGACAGCATTTTATTTTAAACACATCTACACAAAATTGATTTCAATTCCTCAAATGTAAGGCACCAGAATGTAATGACAGAACCAGAATTTACTCGTTTACTGTTTCTTGAGCAAGTTGGAAGATGCCCACTCCTGCTTTTGAGATGCACTGACTAAAAAGGCAGCTTGCTGAACCTTCTGCTGCTTCCCCAGCCCCCCCAAACCCTCAGAAGCACAAAACCATCCAAGTGCCTTATGAAAACAGGCAAGAATGGTATAAGAAGTCTTCTATAAGTTTAGACTTGAAAAAAACAAACTTTGTGCTCAAGTGTTTAGGGTCTGTGGGGTGGTTTCTTCATCAGTACATTTGTTTTTCTGAGCATCGCTACTGCTTATACTGTAGAGTTTACTGCTACATAGGTATAGGGGATACTTGCATTGCATATCAGGAACAGAATTATACCAGTTACTGGTACACTTCTCCAACTTACGGACATAATTTAAACTGGAAATCAACATGTTATCAACTAGTAGATGTACTTTAACAGAATCCAGAGATGTAGCCTCTTTTGTTACCAGGTGCACAGTATATTTGCAGTTTTCTCTGTACCTGAAAGTCTTTTAACTCATTGAGGGACAGAAAGTACAACTGTTTCTTCCCTGACAAAGCTGGAAGAATTCTTTCCTAATGCTTTTAGATCACAGCTAGTTAAAAACTCCAGTTTCCATCGACTAGCTTGAGCAGCCCTTTTGAAATGCTCAGGTGTCACAGGCAGGGTCATGCCTATCCAAACTGAATATATAGCACCCATGGCTCACTGTGCTGCTGCTCTTTCATTACAGCTCTTCAAAGTGCAAGATATTTGATATTTGTCAGCAGTACAAAACCATTTCCAAGCAACTACACCATGTCCTCAATAGGAAAGCTTTTCAAAGGTAACTAAACCCAAACCAGGGTCTAAACTTCCTCAAATACAGTTCATGCTCCAGAGTTGTATGCCAGGATTTCATTAACAAACTCCAGTGCACCATACATCAAAACTGCCCTATCAGTCAGCAGAAGTACCTGTTTAGTCATGTCCCTTGTACCTGCTTCAGAGGAAAGCCACAAAATATCCAGTAACTCTGAAAGCACAACACACACATTTTCCTTGTCTCCTGTCAGTTTGCTCTAAAGCATCGAAAGATGTAAATTGTTGATGTCCTTAATGTATGTCTAACCATCATTATTCACATTTCACTTGTCTAATTTTAATAAGTAACTTACTTCAGTGGGAGCTTCGTTTCTTACACGAGAACCTCAGCCGGTTTTGCTGTCATGCAAAGGTCGCACAGGAGCTGATGCTCAGCCCTGTAACAGCCCTGCAATTAAGAGTAATATTTCACTTTTCTTCATACTGAAAGTGATAATTTTATAGCAAAATGTAGTTCATATGTACTGAAAAAGAATATGAGTTATCTTAAGCCTTCAAATGATCTATTTTACAGCCTCTGGAGGCTACTGATTAACAGAATCAGATGCTGTTCACAGAAAACGTAAATAAAACTTTTCAATCTTACTTCTTCCTCAGTATTGGTGCTCCTGCCACTAAGCTCTCCAAATAAAAGCACTTCCAGTGTAACACAGGTGTTTACATGGTGCAAATTCTGATTCTGGACAGAACTGGCCTGTGAGTTTATGCTGCAAAGCCTGTGCCAGAATTACCTCGATGGCAGCTTTCTTTGAGAAACAAACAGAACTCACTCTGCTGGTGAAATCAGCTTCCCTTCGCTTTAGTCTCCTGTGCTCTGAAGCGGCGCGTTATCAGCTTGAATGTGAAACAACTTTCTAATGAAAATAACCCGAAATAAACGACTGACGGAGCTCGACTCCTGTCCCCGCACCAGGCGCGGTCCGAACCAGCCCCCCCCCCTCCCCCGGTGCCGCCGCCACCCTCCCACCGCGGCAGGGCCGCCTCCGTTTCACCTCCTGCATCCCGGCGCTCGGGACACCGGCAGTCAAGGCCCGCGGGGCGCCCGCCCTCCAAGGGGCTCCTCGGGGCGACGGTGGCCGGGCAGGGACCAGACACGAACCAAGGAGCGCACCTCAGCTCCCCTCAGGAACCCGCGCGGCTAGGCGGCACCGCCCCCGTGGCGGAGCAGTGTGCAACGCTCGCTTCTCATTGGCTATTCTCACTGCAGCTCGTGCGCGCCGGTCGTTCCGCATTGGCTACTCGCACGGCGGGCGGTGCGCGGGCGGTGCTGCGGTCTGTCGGGCAGCGGGGCGGGGCTGAAAGAGGCGGTTCCGTGCGCGGGGTGGGCCCGCCCCGCCCGCTCAGAAGCGCCCTCCCCGCAGAAACGGAGGGGACCACGAGGGGGCGCCCCCTGGCGGCTGGGTGGGGTGCAGTTGCCTGCAGCCAGTCCGGGCGGAGCCGGATGCCCTGCGGTTGCGTTCTCACGGGCCAGTTCCAGGCGCGCTGACGAGTTCGGGACCGTGGAGCCCCGAACGGGCCCCAGCATGGGCACCGTTAGTGCCTGAGCTGTTCCGCCAGACTGCGGGCACCATGGATGCCGTGCTGCGCCCCCCGCAAGCCCCAGCGTGCTCGAGCTCCTCAGCATGGGTGCTGGTGGTCACATGACGCCCAAGTGCCCGGCTCCGAGTGCTGAGCAGCAAAAGCACAGGACGGAGGGAATGACTCACCTGTGAAGCCTGTCCGAGGAAGAGGGGCCTAACGTTTAATGTGACAGTAACAGCAGCGAAGAGGAGGCCAAGGATGTTTAAAGGACAAATTTGCTTCTGTGTGGGTTCTGTGACTGACCAAGTGCTCCCATGCTTATCTGCGGCTTCCCCACTAGAACTCAGCTGTTGACAAGAGGGAAGGACACTGGGATTGTCTGCAGGACTGCTGCTGGTTTATGTGAACAGCACCTTACGATAAATGTACGATAAAACACCTTGGTCAAAAGGCATCATCACCTCAATGGATGGTTATCGCTGGGTCTGAGGGTCATAGCGTTGAACACAAACACCACTGAAAGGCGAAGGAAACAAAGTACCTCGGGGGCATGTGTGTATTTAAATAGGTGCAGGAACAAAACCCAAATGTCTTACTTTGGATTTTTCTTACGTGTAAAAGAAGCCCAGAGAAGCTGTGGCTGTCCCATCCCTGGCAGTGCTCAAGGCCAGGTTGGACACAGGGGCTTGGAGCAAGCTGCTCCAGTGGAAGGGGTCCCTGCCCGTGGCAGGGGATTAGAACTGGATGAGCTTTAAGGTCCCTTCCAACCCAAGGCAGTCTGTGACTCTGTGATTCCTGGTTAGCACTACATGCAGTTTGTCACAGATAGATTGACAGTTTATTGTCTGTCATCATATGCTTTGCATTTCATCTGAGTAAACTTTGGTTATCAGGTTAAAACTTCCTCTTGTTGGTCAGAAAATATGTTTCTGAACTGATTAATTTCTCTCTTATGCTTTTAACAGAGCAGGGATTAATTAACCTGTTTAATACATGATAGTGGCACAAACAGGTTGTAACCAGTGCCATACAGTGGAGAATTAGAGCTGGAGAGTGAATATATCAGGAGGCTGAAATTACTATTTAGACTTCGCTCCTGGACACAGGAATAAGGTTACATATGACAAGTATGGTCAGAGAGCTGGTACCCAGCCTCTGTGAGGTGCAGGTTAGTAAGTGCTGCTCATTGTAAGAGATTGCATGGGTGAATGAAATTGCACTTGGGGTGGGGGAAACCTCAATGACAAGGAAACATTTGTTAGTTTATGGTTCTTTCTTCATCCTGTTCTGTACCGCTCCCCTGTGCAGGGCCAGAACAGGCCTGGGGCTCATCTCACTTTAACACTCCCAAGAGCCCTGCTGACTTGTGTGGGGAAAAAGGTTTTGGCTGAGTTTCACTTTAAGTTTCCTGGTATTTCACTGCCCTTCTGGAGAACAGCGCAGCAAGAGCTGAAGCTTTGGTGAAACAAGTTTTTCAAACAATATGTGCTTCAATAGAAAAGAGGCTTGAGGCTTGCTGCCCCAGCGCAGCGACAACAGGATGTCTGAAGAGCCCAGGTCAGGCCATCAGCAGAGGAAAAGAGCTGTAGTGTGCATAACCAACTGTATGTGCTTCATCAAAGCTGGCTACACTGAAGCTGGGGCCCTCAGAAAACCTGAATTACATACATGGAAGTACCTTTGCTACTATAAAGGCTGTAAATGTATGTCAAAATCTAAATCTAATTTAAAAGTTCAGCACTAAGAATATGCATTGCCTTTTTTAGTCTCTGAAATACATCATCTGCCTCTGCCTCCGAGCACCTCTTCAAAAATACCTGGGATTTATGAGCACTTATACATACACATAGTTCATTCTTATTCACTTATTAATTAACTTATTCACTTATTAAGCACTTATTCATACACATAATAATTTCTCCTTCTTACCCAAAGTAAGTTGGGTAAGAAAGTGTATTCTAAGTACAAACCTGGAGCCCCATGACTCTGCTTTTGCACATGTCACAGGACACGCAGTTAACTGAAGTAACTAGTGATCAACATCAGAATAAACACTTACGCACACCCATTTGCAAACCCGTTATGAAATACACTTTTATTTACGTTTAGTTGTAAGCAGAGAGGTACATTCTGACTACATTCTGTTGGAGGCTTACATGTTACAAAGCTTCTGTGGTTTAGTGCAGTAGTTTGTCCTGACCTTCTCATTAACACAGTCACTATAGTCAGTGTTACATTTACCACACTTGCAACTCACGGCCACAGGGTAGGAGTAATAAGGGATGGTGTGATGAGGACAGCCTGGAATCAGTGCTGTTTGATACAGCATCTCTTTATATGTGCAAACGTTCTGGGACAGAGCGCTTTTGAGTAGCAGCTTCTTGCCATTGCTGTCCTGTAAAGAAAAAAGAAATGCATTGTTTCACTGAAGCATCTATGAGTGTCAGAGACCTCTTTACACTTAGACTAGTGTGAGCACTTTCACCATACTGCTGTTTGGATCGGCAGTTTTGAATCTCTGCATCACTGGGGCTCTCTACCCCAGCAGTTCAAATCGCATAAGCAAGGTGAACACCTCTATCTGCTTGGCTCAGTGCTGACAGTGCTTTGCAAGCTTACTGGCTACCTGCTAACCAAGGTGCATCAAATGCTACACTGAACAGTGAAGCTCACATACAGTTTTTGGCATGTCTACTTGTGAGATACTCTCCAAGCAAGCTGTCATAGCAATAATGGGAGTAGAAGTTACCCAAGGAATTTACATTAAATAAGAGTTACTAAACATAGTCTACTTCTCACGCTTTCCACCCTGACCCCCCCCAGACTGAGTACAAAGGCTCTGCAGTGGCAACAGCAGCCAGTTCTCTGCTGTGCTACTGATGTTAAGAGCTCCCTAGCTCCAGAAGCTTAACATTTCTCCCCCATACCTTCACAACAAGCTAACAACAAACCAGTATGACAGTGTGATTTTTCTGCCTGTGACAAACACTATTAGATTTGTATCATTTACACTGATTTCCAAGTGAGAACATCACTTGTTCTGCAGTGATGGCTGTTACAGAAACAACTGCCTAAAGCAGAGTAACCCTTTGTACCCGAGTCATGCAGAATCCGGCACAGATAGTGGTGTTGATGGCCAGGCAGTAGGCACATTCCCTTTTCTCCACGTGGATTATATACTCTGAAGGAGCACAAAGTGATGCTGTTTGACAAACAGTCAGGCCAAAGAGGAGAGACATCACAAAGAAGGGACTCATGCTGGATGGGGGGAAAACAAACAAAATAAAGTGTCAGTAAAATTAGATGTACCTTCCAGCCCTCCTCTCAGAATTGACAAGCACAGTTATGACAGTCATAGACTAGAAGTAATCTCCACTTTTTTAGCTGCAGCCTGACACCTTTCCCATCTCAGACCTTTAACTGAAACAGTACTAACCACTGGCCAAAAAAGGATAAACAGGCCATCACTGACATACAACAAACTCACTTTCCCCCCCACTAAAACATATTACATGAAACTTCACTCACAAGTGATAAAATGCTGATATGGAAAATAAAAGGATTTGAAAATGTTCCATGTGAGAGAACATGAGCTCCAGGATTAACCAGAGATGCCAAAATAACCTTGTGGGTTAAAAATAATTTTCTAAAGAAAGCATCTTATAAAATGTGCAAGAGAGAAAAGCAGCAGCTGTGCATAGCAAGCGTTGTGCACCTCCCAGTTAGCTCAGAGGCATGAAGAGATTGGAACACTGCCAAGAATTAAATAATAGATTCAAGCAAATTACAATAAAGAACATCAGTGAAGAGTTCAATTCAACATATCCCCGCTTCATCCGGCTGTTGTGCTGACCTCACTCCTCATACCTGCGGGGGGATCCTGACAACAAAGCTTTGCTTAGCTCCAACACAACTCCAGGGTCTACCCTACATCCTCCAAATTACAGCCTTTAAATGACAGTGTCTACAAACACATGGACATCACCCTCTAGTCTCTTCCAACTAGCAGTTTCCCATCGCAAAAGCCATTTGTTCCACAGTCTGGTTTACCCTGTAGCTGCCAGTCTGGAAAGACCAACCTCTTGTCAGCTGAATTCTTCCCTAATACAGGAACCTGATTCTGCCTTCAGCTGGGAGAAACAGTGACCCAGCACCAGATCCGTGTGTGCTTTATACTCTCCAGGCTAATTCCAGGCTGATCTTACTGTTTATATAACTGCATCTGAATTGCTGCTTTCTTATCGCAAAGTCATCTATTGAAAATTCATACTGAACCACAAAGCAAATGTGATAGGAACAAATGTCTCCATAATATCCTAACCTGGAAACTGGAGCTGGAAATCTAATTATTTTAACAGTCATTCTCTCATCAGGCTTTTAAACTGGCCACTGCTTAAAATAAGTTATTTTTGATGAATTTAATCACTACATAGGACAGCAACATCACGACAGGAAGGGTGGCGTGGAAATGGAGTCATCCTGAATCACACAGGGCTAATTCTACACCTGTGTTTTGTGGAAATTTAAGGAAGTGTGGCTCACCATGTGCACTGGTTACCAGGCAGGTACCACTGCCAGAGCAGCACTACACACAGTGACAAATCTCAGAGCACTTGTACTCAGTGGGGTGGGTTTGGTGCAGCCTCACTTATCTAATGAAATAAAATGCACAGAGACATTACCTGGCCTCGAATATATGGAGCAAATAGTAGGTAACAAAGCAATTTGCTCTGGAATAGCAACTGATGGGGGAGAAGCTTTGAAGAGAACACTTGTGTAGCACAATGAGAAGCAAAATACTGCACTAACACTAGTGAAACTGAGATGTCCACACATGGGGGAAAGCACTTATTTTTAGGATTTTGTGTCTGGAAAACCTGAGAGAAGGAAAAGTAAGAAAAGTTTGACAAAGCCTCTGACCTCTGCTGCTTCATCAGTGTCTGGCCAGCCTTCTTCCTGTGCTTATTCACTGCAGCTCTGCTAACATCTCCCTGCAGTGAATCAACTACTTGACACTTGGACCTGGATCTGTTACATACCTTAATGCAGGTCAACCACATTCTGGATTTATGTAGCCATAAGCAATACGATAGAGTTGAGTTTGAGCTGGTAAACATGGTCCCTATTGGTGTTTAGTTAATTCCTGAATAATATTGTCTCCTTTTCCTGAGGTTTTGGACTGCTGCACACAACTTTGGGTCCTGGACTAATTCTCCTTTTTTGGATAACATAACAGAGTTCTTGTTCCATTAAGACAAGCCAGATGCTTTCTGTTTTCATGGAGTTTCTACTCCTGGGTTAATTTCTACCATATAACTTCTTAGGAATTAAATATAACTCTTTGTGGCTTAAGGACATGAGCAGAGTATTAATTGTACTCTCAGTAACATCTGTCCATCCACACTTTGCAATGCAAGTGTAACACTTATTTTGCTACATCTCCCATACATTATTTAACTCTATATTTTCTGACATGTTTAAAATGCAGTTAAACATGCAGGTTATATGAGTATACACATACATACACTCATGTATAGATAACAGGTATACATATACACATTACATAAATACACGTGGGTTTGGTTGTTTAAAACTTTAATCAGAGAAAAGAATGTTCATTCTTGGAAACCTTAAAGAGAATTTTAAAGGAATCCTGAAAGGAAAAGGAAATAATTCACAAAACATAATTCTGGAGAGGACAAAAAATGCCCCAAATAAGAATAAAAACTGGCATTCCTAAAGCAGGAACAAAGTGTGCAGCCCTTGCAGCACATCTGAGGTAGGTGCACTTGATTCTTCTCTCTAAAAATTTCACAGTGATTTACAAGCACTGCTTTAGGCATTTGGAGACACTGGTCATGACTGGAAGACCTCACATCGAGGTTTAACATGTCTTCCACATATTCCATAAGAATCTAGGCAGAGGTCAAATCACAATATGAAGGCATATGTAAATCTTTTGCTGCTTCAAAGTGCTAATTCCTCTGATTTAAGACAATTGGGTGTAAATGGGGGGTTCAGATTAGGAGGAAAAAGAATTTGCTTTAACAAGGTTTAGGGAAATGTCTGCAAACAGCAATAGCAAAGAAAATATGCTATAACAATGCTTGAAAGTCTGTCACAGTGAAGATGAAAAAGGCAATGCAACACTAAAAACTAGCAATGAAAAAAAGGAAAACAAACAACAACCACTGTTAGAAGTGAGAAGATGCAGAAAACTTGCATGGGATGCTGGAGATTAGGAAATCAACTTCTGTCAGGCCAGAGGCCAATAGGAACATCCAGGGCCATTGCTAGACAAAGACAAGCTGTTGGTGCAGAGGAAGTGCAAAGTCTTCAGTAACAACACGTGCATTTGAAAATGGAGCAACTGAACAACCAACATCCAGGTTTGTAACAAAATATATTAAATAAATTGTATAAAGAATAAATATTTTTAAATGGACCCCATTAAGTGGCTAATGCTGATTTCAACAAGTTTGCACCACTGAGGAAATTTCAAAACATTAAGTGCTAATATTATGGCAATATTTAGAGAGAGAATGCTAACCCAGGTAACTCTCCACCAGGAAGCCTGACATCTATCCCTGATAAATCAGGTAAAATAACAGAAAGTTGATACAGGATTTGAGCAATAAAGAATTAGCAGATGAGAACATAATGCCAGTCAAGATGGTGTTACATAAAATAGGTCATGCCACACAAACCTGATTTTTGAGGTGATTACAAATTGGTTGTTAAGGCAATTACATAGATGCAATGGCCTCAGTTCCATCTGTCCAGAGTCCCACTGTCATTGAAGATTTAGAGCTCTTAGGGTGGTGTGCTCTGAATGTCAGGAATTATTAATCACTGGAGCAGGTAGTATTTCAGCAGTCAATTTATTCGCTGCAACCCAGCCTCTGAATGCCCTGCAGTGCATTACAGAAAACTCTTGAGTATTGAGAATGGAAATTCATCTATATGGAAGCATACTAAACTAGTCTGAATGGACCCTGAGACTGATATAACTGCTGCTGCTCCTCACACTCAGGTTAGCTTCACAACAATAATGGCCACAGACCTCTTGGCTACTACCTCTTCTTTGCTGGTGTCATTTTAGCCCACCCATCTGTTAGAGAGGCACTGACCATCACCATTGATAACACACATTCACATTTCTTCAGTAACTTACACAAACTGTTAAGCTGGTAGGAAAGCTTTTCCTTGACTGTCCTGCTGGACATGACCATAGAGCTCATTCATTACTGACCCCTCTGAACACTTGGTGGGGGCGAGATCCCACTACCTCCTGGGAGCAGCAAGACAAAACACTGGCAGGATAAGAAAGTCCAGTGTGGCAATCTATGAGTGCCTGAGGCTTCTTTCATCCAGTTTCCTAAAATCCAGAGTTGTAAATCTGATACATACGGTTGCCCCACCACTGACCAGCAGGCTGTTCAGTGATAGATGTTTTTAATGTGCTTTTACAGCCATCAGCTTTGTAGCCCTGTTCTGGAACAGCCAGTTACACTGTTAATTATTTATCTTTAACCTTTCTGTTAACTAAAGCAATCCGTTCACTGACATCAGTTACTTTTTCATTAAGTGAAAGACAGGATGCTGATGTTCCATGAGAAGTGTTTCAAGTGATCTCTGTAAACAGAATTCAGTAATAGTGAAATTCATGGGTTCATTACCCAGGAATCTCTCTAACAGGCTAGAGATTCAGTGCATATCACAAGATTATGCATACAAGTAACTTAGGATTCTTTGTCATTGACCAGTGCCTGAGATAAAAGTAGGAACAATGAGCAGAAGGTATCACATTATTCCTACTCACTCTTCCCCTGTTAGCACAAGGAAACCTTTGTGATCTTACAAGCAGGTTAACGTACTAAGTCCTGTTTCCACTGCATGTAGTGCTGTAGATATTAAAATGAAACCATGTCCATGCTTGCAAACAGCAGGGAATTAGAAGCTATGCTGATGAAAACCAGACAAAGCCCATCAGATTTCTAAACAGATTAGTATTCTGGTAGAGGAATTACTTCCAACCCCATCCTGTTGCAAACCTCCACTGATAAAAGGAAATAAGATCCTAATATGCTGTCATAGAAACAAGTGGGTTTGCCAGGTTTTGCATTTAAACAGAGTGCAGCTGCTGAATTTCCAAAGCAAGTCTCTGTAATAGCTGGAAACACAGCTCTCAGCTCTTCAATTTCCACATCCACAGATGACTGCTATTCCCTTTTGTTCCTAGCATTAGCTGCAGCATTTCCTATCCACCACAGATTAAAGCAGCAATTCTCTTTGTCGTGTATCATACGCCAACAATATCCATTTGTGGTCTGAAAATACATAATCCTTTTTGCTGTTTGGCTCAGATGATAGAACACTTTGTATTTGGTTTCAGTTCTTTGGAAAGTGCTGGACATTTCTTTTATTCTAAGATATACAATCACTACAATGAGAACATTTAAAACCCCAAGTACCTGAGCAGCATTCTGCAGTGTTCAAACGACTGGACCCACCCAAGAGCACAACAATGAATCCCTGATGAAGATCTGCTGTGCAGACTTGATACTACATGTGTCCATTTTCTAAGGATCTTTTCTTACTTTCCTGAAGGATTCACAAACATTTATTAATTTCCATTTGCTTTTCCTATGCAAAATGGATTAATGCCTAACAAAGTTGCTTATATTTTCAGTTTCATTTACTACATATAATCTGTGCATAGAAACAAGCTTCATATGAGGCAAATATGATTGACATCCTTCGTAGCTGATTATATTTCCTGGAGGATTTCTATTGTGATACTACCAAGATTTCTGTAGTTTTGCAGATGATTTATATACCACACTACACAACACACTAATGGTATCAGGATGCACCACAGAGTCATAATGTAGCCATGACAGTACTGGAAAATGACAAGGTCCTGATCTCTCCTGTTGTAGTCTAGATGTGGGCAGTTCAGAGTTGAATTCTTACCTGTTCAAGTGGCAAGACTTTTCTCCACCTTCCACACATTTTAATTACTGTAAGACTCACTGTAACATGCAGAAGCTCTTACAATAACCAGCATTTCCAATTCTTACTGCTTGTTCCTCATCATTTCTTCTCGTAGTGTCAGACACTGTACCTATACCACTAGACTGGAAATCAGGTTTGGGAGATACCAAGAAAAAACATTAATTTTTCATCTAAACTCTCAATTAAAAATAATTTAAAATCTGTGTTTTATAGCAAGGCATTCAAGTACAAATATGGGAAGGCAGCTTAATGTGGATTTTTAATCTTAACTTCGAGATTGGAAAACTGTAGTTCATGGGTCTCTGTGTGAGCCCTGGCTGAGCAGACTTTATAGTAGAAGTCTCGTTATATTCAGAAACAACTAGAATTCTTAGTTTTGCTTGCTCAGGATCTAGCTTAGCAGATGAGTCTGCATATCTGTTGAATCTGATGTCAACAACAGTCGAAATTAGACATAAGCCATCTTGAAATGAAGTAATAAACACCGGCAAGTGTTCAGGTCTTGTATAAAACACCAGCCCTTTAAAAATAAATGTCAAACTGCACATATAAGTTGTGTTTCCTTTTTCCTG